TGCACCTGAAACAGTCTTGAAGTTATTTGAATTGGATTTCAGTGAGAGCGATCTTGGTTCCACACCAGGCGAACGTGGATTTACTCCATAGAGGATCAGCGATTCATGGAGAAAACACGAAACGGTATCCAGTATATTGATGGTCATTTCCAAATCCACTTCCTTTCCGTAATGAAAGGCCCATGCCAAGTAACAGAGAACAAGCTATCAAACGTGTCCTTTGGCAAAAGAAAAAATGTTAAGAGATGAAACGTACCATTAGGACTATGTGAAATTTATGGGTACCCATAATTTCAAAAGGATATATGCTTGTGAAGTACCTGAAAGTGAGTTGATTGGCAAAGAAGGTTGTGTTTGGTACCTTGCCCCATCATGGCGTATACCATCCTAAAAGCCAAACAAAATCAGAATTGTATTTGACTGTAGTGCAAAATGTGATGGTTATTCCCTTAATGATGTTCTTCTCCAGGGACCAGACCTTGCAAATTCATTAGTTGGAGTTCTCACGAGGTTTCGTTCAGAAGCTGTGGCATTCATGGGAGATGTGGAAGCAATGTTCCACCAGGTCAAGGTGCCAAAGGAACAGCAGGACTTTCTCAGATTCTTCTGGTGGCCTAATGGAAATATTCAAGGGGAACTGAAGGAGTTCAGAATGACTGTTCACACCTTTGGAACCATCTCCTCTCCAACCATTGCTAACTATGCACTGAAGGAATCGGCAAACAAGGCAAAGGACAGGTGTGATGATGTTGTTCTCCAAACCATTCTGCGTAATTTTTATGTGGATGACTGTCTTAAATCTGTAAAAGATGATCAAACTGCAGTAAAACTGATATCCGATTTACAGTCAGTATGTGCAGAAAGTGGCTTCAATCTCACCAAGTTTACCTGCAATAGTAAAGAGGTTCTCTCCTCTATTCCTTCTGAGCATTGTTCCAAAGAAGTACAGACTATAGATCTGAGCTATGATGATATTCCAATGGAAAGAGCACTTGGTATGCAATGGAATGTCATGATGGATAGTTTTAGGTTTTCAGTAGATCTGCCTCAGAAACCAACAACCAGAAGAGGAATTTTGTCAACAATGTCCTCCCTGTACGATCCACTGGGACTTGTCTCTCCAGTCTTGCTGCCAGCAAAGAAGATTCTCCAAAATCTCTGTAAAAATAAATCTCTCGGCTGGGATGATGAAGTTGATGATGACCACAAGCAGAAATGGGAACAGTGGCTTTCTGAGTTGGAATCTCTGAAAGGTTTGTCTGTCAAACGTTGTCTCAAACCATTAGATTTTGGAAATATAGTTTCAAGTCAACTTCATGTTTTCTCTGATGCCAGTGTTTCAGGCTATGGATGTGCTTCATATCTCCGTTTATGTGATAACAAGGACAACATTCATACCTCCCTGGTGATGGGTAAAGCCAGACTAGCACCCCTGAAAACTTTGACAATTCCAAGACTTGAACTTACTGCAGCAGTGACATCAGTGAAAATAGGTCAGTTTTGCTCAAGGAATCAGACATTGACATTGACAGTATTACGTATCATACTGACTCCACGACGGTTCTTCATTACATTTGTAATGAGCGTAACAGATATCCAGTATTTGTAGCAAACAGAGTCAAGATGATCAGGGATTACACCTCTCCTCAGCAGTGGAAGTACATTGACACTAGGCGGAATCCAGCAGATATTGCTTCTCGTGGATCAAGTTGCAAGCAGTTCCTAAAGTCAACAGCTTGGTTCAAAGGTCCTGATTTTCTTAGAAGTGCTGAATCTGGAGTGGCCTGTCTTAGAATGTGAGAGTCATGGATCTGTTGGAATGGTACAGTCTCATGTTGACGTCCAAGATATTGATGCTGCTCAACGGCTTGTGAACCATTATTCGTCATGGCATCGTCTGAAGCGAGCAGTGGCAATCTACCACAGATTTTTCTCATACCTTCAGTCGGAAGATAAAGCTCAAAAGCACAAATATCCGAGGTCACTGACATTCAAGGAGCTTGATGTTGCAGAGAACTGTATAGTCAGGTTTGTTCAGCAGACTCATTACAAATCAGAACTTGCTTCCCTTGTTGGTTCATCATGTGAACGAGGCCGAGTACATGTCACTCCCTCGAAGCAGTTCAATACGTAAGTTAAATCCAGTTGTCCCTGATGGTTTTGCTGTGTGTTGGTGGTCGTATTAGCAAAGCTGATATTTCAGATGATATGAAACATCCACGTTTGTTACCACGAAAATGCCATGTTTCTTCTTTGATTATTCAAGAAATACACCACAGTTTGGGACATGCAGGACGTAATCATGTCTTGTCTTCTCTGAGAGAAAGGTACTGGATTACAAGTGCAAACTCGGCGGTCAGAAGTGTCTTGAGTAAATGTGTCACATGTAGAAGATTCAAGATGCCAACCAGTGTACAGCAGATGTCTGAACTGCCAGCAAATCGGGTAAATCCAGCTCCTCCTTTCACCTACACCGGCGTAGATTTTTTTGGACCGCACATCGTGAAAGAAGGCAGAAAAGGCGTTAAACGGTACGGTGCCCTGTCTGGTTAGCAGAGCTGTCCATGTAGATGTCTGGACACAGATTAGCAGAGCTGTCCATGTAAGAAACTGCTAATTCTTTGGACACAGATTCTTTATGGATCATCAATGCTCTTTTTGGTTCAGAGATATCAGATTTATTGCTCGTAGAGGACCAGTTTGAAAGAAATTGTATGTGACAATGGTTTGGTGACAGACTGGACGATGACAAACTTCAGAAGTGGCGCAAAAGAATTGAGTCAGTCTTTGCCTTGATATGGATCAGTCAAAATTGTCTTCTTCATTTTGCTTCAGAATCATCCTAAACGCTAACTATCAGCTGGATGACATTGTGCTGTTGAAAGATGAATTTCTTCCCAGAGGTGCGTGGTCTATGGGTCGCATCACCGGAACTGAACCTGACAAAAATGGAATCGTCCGGAGTGTAATAGTAAAGACCAAGGACTCTGCACTTCGTAGACCAATTCACAAGCTTGTTCTACTTCTTCCATCGAACGAAGTCATTTTGAATTAACTCTTGTATCTTGCATTTCAGAAATTGTTGTTTAACACACAGGGTGTGTTAAAGAGGCCGAGTGTGTAAATGCAAGATTGCATGTTTCAATATTCCCTTTAATTCTATGTGTTAATATTGTTAAAGTTTTAATTTAATCTTAAACTTAAATTTTACTAAAATTTAAAATGCAAATATCTTAACTCATTGGTCTAATGGTTAAGGCTGTGGATTTGTAATCCAAAGGTTACAAGTTCAAACCCCACTTACACCAACTAAACTTTTGTAACTAATTTAACTAATTTACATAAAGTATTTAAATTAGCCTCACTTCTAACACTTGTTTATCACATGACATCCCTAATGAAGCACATGGTCTAAAAAAGCATGCCCTTCAGTCTGTGCCTGACCACCATGCTGGAAAGTTGCTTCACCTCACTGTCTGCGAATAACTGCATGTCAAGAAACAAATGTAAGTTACTTTCAACTCATAATATTTCTAACTTTATTGCATTATTATCATTTGTATTAATAATAAATTATTGATAAACAATTTTGATAACAGTTCAACGAAATGTTGTTCAAATGTTTAGTCATCCAAATGTATTTGTACAATTTCAATAAGCATAGTAGAGTTTATTAATGCCAAAAGTAAATATGTTTAAAGTGCATTAATGAGCAAAGATTGTGAAATTGTTTCTGCTTATATTGTAGTTTTTTTAACCTCATCAGAGCTCATCAGTTTTCAACGTAGCCTGATTCGTTGTCCAAGTGCTCAACAAGTTTCAAGGATGAAATGCTCATGAATCTCGTGAATTGTTAAATTGTAACCTGCACAGATGTAATAAACTCTGATGCGAGTATCGGATTTTGTTCTTGCATCTACATGAGGTACTCGATCCATTGTTTCTACACTTTTCCTACCTTAAACATATGCCCATGAAACAGTGACTATAAATGCAATAATGTATCCGACTGTCATGAGTGCAACAACCATTGTTTCACCTTTTTTCCATGTGTAAAACTTTGATCAACACTTTCATATCTGTATATTGGCATTTGAAACAACGGCCCACACTATCTCAAGTTGCATCTATGTATTGATTGGGCCACCTTCACTTCTTTTTGCATTAATTCTTTCACAAAGAGGTCACATTTACCGGTCGCAAGTACATTATTTATAATAAAACACAATTCAAAGGGAAATTAAAGACCAATAGCATCGATCCTGTCATATTGTGATGTAGGTGACCTATCGTATGTTGAAGGTGGCAGTAAGTGGCTGCATAAAACTCCAAGACACTTGAAGAAGGAAGACTGTGTGAACTACTGCCGCAGCGCAGACCGGTGTCCCGAGGAATGTACTGACTGTGTCAGCGGCTTCTATGGGTCTGACTGTAGACGGAGCTGCCGAGGAAACTGTTTGAATGGACGGTGTGCCCTACTGGCCAATGGTCGAGCCGTCAACTGTACGGAGGGGTGTGTGTTGGGGTGGAGGGGGTTAACATGTAGTACTAGGTGTAAGCGTCCGTGTCTGGAGTGTGACAGATACACGGGAGATTGTGTGGGACAATGTAGGGATGGTTTCTGTGGACCTGGATGCTTACAGCGATGTCCATACCCATGTTCTAAGTGTGATAAAAGCACTGGAGTGTGCTTGAACAATTCTTCTGATGATATTGACCAAAGCTCGTCACACAGCATCAACATGTCACACAGCAGTCCAGGTAAGGTGCTGACAAGAATGCTACAAACCGATGTAATATATATTATTTTTAACGATATGAGTTTGAGCACACATATTAAATACTTTTTACTTCAAATCCGTCGTTCATCTTTGCTTAGAGACCGTTCATAATTTATGGCGGGGGTGGGGTGGGGTGTGTGTTATGATGCTTTTTAAGGGTGGGGTTATGGGGAGGCAGGAGGGGTCATCAATTTGGTACACTCTTCTGATGCTATTGACCTAAGCCTGAAGAAAAACAACATGCCTGTGGCATTAAGGCAGACACACGGTAAAAACAAACGCAAGATTCACACCAGCAACATCAACATGTCACACAGCAGTCGAGGTAAGGTGCTGACAGGAATGCTACAAACAGATGTAATGTAATTATATTTTAAAATATGGTTTGAACACATATCAAAATATGTTTTAGTCCGCAATCCCAGTTATTCGTTGCTAACTATATCAGAATATAACTGAGAGTACATATAACAGGTATCAACATGCTTAATTTTGACAAAGGCAATGTACCATATACTTCCTGTTTCAGAGTTTCACCAACACTTTGTAATGCCGTCAACATCTTTCAGTGACAGATGGACAACATCCCCATACTTTCCAACAGCAATTGCTGTATTAGCTGCAGTAATTACCTTCATTATTGTCGGTTTCATCTTCCACAGGTACGTATATGTACACCGATGATGGATATACAGCACCCCAATCCATCTGCCTACCTCAGATCACACGATTGCTGGATTTTATGCATCCAGTTTACCAGCAACACGCCATATTTTATGGCCCTTAGCAAAGACCACTGCTGGGGAGTCTGGTGTATGGAATGTCCCAAACTGTACATATTCAGCATGGCTTTCCAGAGTTCGGTCTTAACTATTGTTTGTTTGTTGTTTAACGCCGTACTCAGTAATATTCCATCTATTTCATCTATCATAAATAATTGAATGTGGAGCAGATAATCCAGTGAATGACATCACGCATTTTGGAAAGGTTGACATGCATCACCAAAATCAGCGAAATCAATCGCCGCTTTCTAACCATTTTATGCTATTTATCCTTAAGGGTTTCGTTTGACAGCGTTCATGAAAGAACTGTAATGTTGTCGCCAGGTGAGAAAAACCGACATTCATTCAATCTGAATGGCAGACAATGACATGTGTTTGTTGTCAGTTACCATAGTTGCCACCAGTGTGACAACTGCACTGGCTCTCAAAACATGTTATTAGTGTACACGTTGTCAAATGAGTGAAGACGAGTCAAATGGAAGCAGTAATGTGTGTACAGTGGCAGCCCTAGATGATATCTGGATGATATCGTAGTAAATCAGAACATTATTTTCAGCTTGCAATATGGCTAATGAACATTCTCATGATATATACGGTATGATCATATTCTTTTTCACAGAATGAAGGTGACGATGGAGCAAAAGAGGAAAGGGGATCAGCTTGTAAACTCATCACAAACTAAGAGATTAATCGGCTCTTATAATTCCAAAGTGATGAGTTTCAATGAACCCATTATCATTGATGTGCCTGGAGATTCATAAATAAATGCAAGTTATGAACACTTTGTCGAGATTACCAAACATTTTCGAAAGGTCAAAGACCTTGCTTTCTTAGTGTTGTTGCTATACTAGTATATGTATTTGCTGAGAGAGTAAATGGAGGCACAAGAGGTGATGGTAACATATGCTGATTTTATTTACTTCAGCTTTGTGTGGTGAAACTGAACTTGGCGTAGGCCACAACTCAGACTGAAAGTATAAAAAACTGTCCAACGAGTGATTTTGGTCGTGATGGATGTTGAAATCTATATGATTTCAAGTCAACTATATGATGGATTAATAAAATTAAAAGGTTGAACTTTCTTGGCGATGCTTTAGACACTAGCATGTGTTCATATCAAAACACTTCCAGGATTAGTCTGTCTGCTTGAGTCTTTGTTCTCTTGCCGCGTGGATCACAACTGACTCACTGCTGTTGGGAGTTGGGAATAAGGGGATGTAATAAGGGGTGCGGTGGATGGGTGGAGTTTCTCGCTTTGAAAAGGGCTAGTGGAAGGGGTGGCTGTTGGGTGGGGAAATGAGGGGTAAAATGTGTCTATCTGAAGGATGGGCAGGAGGAGCTGATTTATTTACGTCTGCTTTGTGTAATGAAACTGGACTTTACAGCTTTGTGTGTATGGACGGGTGGCTTGTTCCATACAAGTGACTGGAAGAAGATCTGAGGTCTTTTCCAACTTGAGTCCCGCATTATCTATAGCTAATCGCCAAATCTGTTGACACTGATTTCCTGTCAGGTTTTAACACGTTTGCTGATTTTATTCTCTTTTTCATATTCAGACATATTCCGCAGTTCTTGTCACCTTCGGAGGATGCATGCGTGATTCACAATAAAACTGCCCACAAAATGTCCCCGTTAAGGAAAAATACTATTGGGAGAGTCTAACCCTCGAAAGACGCGTCTACTGTACCAACAGAGCGGTATAGCGAGGCATTAAAATATCATGATGCCAACATCCACTGTACGTGATTGTGACTTATACGTAAAGGAGAGTAATAAAACGTACTATATTTAAGGAATTGTGAGTTATGGTGTTAATTCCCCAAATAAATTATAGTAAGTAAACTGTTTATAATTATAACATTTAATGTCGCTACTTGAAACTTATATATAAACGTAAAAGTATATATTTTATAAAAATAATCGGTTAGAAAGGGCTCCTCACAACGTCACGCTGTTGTTCGTACTCGCTTAAGCTGTACCAGCTTAACACAACACTGAAACAACTCTCCATTACTTGACATATATTTAGCAACTCTCTATTCCGCTCAGAAATAATGGAGTGCTAAAACAATAGGATGAAGTCACAAGTGTAGTTTAAAGAAAGTTTGGGAACCTGTGGTTGGCATCAATGTTTCGAATTTCACGCCTCCCACTTGACAGTAACCTCCAAGTCACCCTTGTACCGCAACATGCAATAAATGATGAAATTGTCCTGAAATACTTGACAATATAAACATAATCGGGGTCCTACTAATTTGAATGAATTTTCCAAAGTTTCATATATATTTTTGAATTCTGAAGGGTTCGTCTCTACAATAAGAGGTCTAGACGTGATTTGATTTAAGTATTACCATGAATGAGAAGATCAACCTTTGTCAGATCTTCAAACTTATTCGTTATCTTTTCGGTATTTTTTCGACCCGTGAAGATCCGGTTTAGAATTGATCTTCAGTAACCCATGCTTGTCGTAAGAGGCGACTAACGGGATCGGGTGGTCAGGTCAGGCTCGCTGACTTGGTTGACACATGTCATCGTATCCCAATTGCGTAGATCGATGCTCATGCTATTGACCACTCTATTGTCTGGTCCAGACTCAATTATTTACATGCCGCCGCCATATAGGTGTATATGTAATATTGCTGAGTGTGGCGTAAAACTAAACTCACTCACTCTCTCACTTCAGTTTTTCAAACACAGCGGTCCGAATCGTGAAAAAGACGCCATTGAAAGCAGCATATCTGTCCAGTATTTCCAGTACTTCACTGTCCTTTTCGATCAGAATCAATTTCAAAACATCTCACCTTTCTTCCGAAAACACATTTTGTAAATTTTATCAACACTCTTGAAAAGTCACATATCCCATAACTACCGCTGCAGTCACCATTGGAATCAGCGTGGGCGGGCGTGGGGCGGGGGAAGGATTTCAATCGTTGCGCGAATCGTTATATGTGAACATAGCATTAGGGAATCCATCACAACAACTACCGTTTCCATAGCCAAGTCTGTGGAAAAGGGTATCAACAACTGTGGAATTTCGACAGTTCATGCCCCAAAATCCATGCAACTACATGGATATTTATTTCAACATAAAACATTCAACGCAATGGACAGTTTCAACACAACTCCATATAGAATGTACAGTTTGATTGTATGATGATAAAAAATACTGACGCCTTAAAGCCTAAACTCTGAATGAAGACCTAAAATAACTATTTCTATGAGAAAAAAGGCGTATCTGCTGATGAGGGTTGTCATATTTCGTGTTTAAACGATCATTTTCCGCGATCTTGTTTCGACACTCAGGATGGGTGCCCTCGCTTAACGCACAGTTGCAATAAATGGAGAGGGTGTCAAGCTATTATGGAAAGATCTGTAAATTTCTAGATCCCTCTGCCAAATGGCAAAACCTGATATACTTGTAAAATAATGAAAATGCGAGGGAAAACTTACCATTACGCTTGCGCCACATGTTCGTCTTTCACTGTCCAGCGAGGAAATGGAGTTGCTTTTGGGGGCAACTCCACATTTCGCAGTGGACAGCGCTTCCACCAAGTGAGCAACGTCTCGTGGAAAAGGGATGGGCAAGTTAGCCTATTACACAAAGTACATACACAAAAAGTAATAATTATAGAGATGAGTTTATTAACAATATGGGGACCACTGGCCCAATTTATAGTAATTCGTATGTTTATTTCACAACAAACACACATACACAAATGATCCCTCACATAACCAATACGTATACTATACCTACACATATTCAACATTTTGAAAAAATATATTGAGATGACCCTCCCCCGAGCGTGTGCTCAGGTGTCAATTTCACCTGGATACCTTGCATACTGATGACGTAACACAGGCAGTTAATGTTTGTATCAAATAACGTCCCACTACTCCCCTTTATTTTTCTAAGTTTTGGTATTTTCATCAGTAGTAAAACGCATTTTAGGGCATGTCTAAAACTGTATTCCCTCGGTCTACATTAGGTAGATGTTTCTTAAAGTGATATATATTATATTTAAGTAACTGTAATACCTCTTGAATTTTAAATATAAGTCTAAAAGCATTTTTTCTAGCATTTCCGACAAAGTACTTTAGTACGTGCTTTGTCTGGGCTAGCTGTATTCTAAGACTACATGTATATAGAAAGTGTAAAACATGTATATGTAAGCCATGTTATGCCTTTATGCTCAAATTCTTAGTTATATTTATGAAAATTTTCAGAGTTATTAAAACATTCCTTTTTAATGGATGAATAAAGTGGCTGTCATCTGTGACCACAAGTAGCGTTGTGTTGTGTGCGCTCTACCCACCAACCAACATTCATCCATATCCGCTACTGCACAAAAGTGATGTTCTGATTCTATGTTCCTAACTACACACAAAGGACATAACCTGTCTTCTCTATTTAAACCTATTTTCCTACCTGCTTCTTCGATTAATAGCTTATGACGAGAGCAGCGGAGAGATGAAAGGCAATACGTAAACTTTCATAGATTTTCACGACAGATAAACTTAATAATAATAATAATAAGTCCATTTGTATAGCGCCCTATATCCAATCACTAAGTGGTTGCTCATGGCGCTAACTATATACATATTTACAATAGGAGTTCATCTAGATGTCATAGTGCTTCTTGAACAGGAAAGTTTTAGGTTAGACTGGAAGCTGGCTATTGAGGGGATTCTTTGAGAGACACGTGCAGATTGTTCCAGAGGATAGCTGACAAGTAGGAAAAACGTCGGTGTCCATATGTCTTCAGACGTGCATTTGGGATGATGAGCAGCGACTGATTGGCTGATCTCAGAGTCCTTGGTTGGAACATACCCCTTACTAGACTAGAGAGATAGGATGGAGCTGCGTTGTTAAGACATCTGTAAGTCATGCTAAGTATTTTGTATTCCCCATCCTAGCTGGGAGTGGTAAATCCAAGTGCAGACGCACGTGGAGGATTGGGGAGATGTGGCTGTGCTTGGTGGTTCTACAGATCAATCTGGCAGCTGCATTTGGACTTTCTGCAACCTGGAGAGCACGTGACTGATCCATTGTTGACAATGAAAAACCTTTTGAAACAAGCATAGCCCAAATATCGTGAGCAACCTCCTACCTCCTACAACTTAAAATAATTATGGATACTTCAGCGATGCATATCCAAATGGGCAAAAGCAGAAGAAGATGTAAAGTTGGTTTTTGTTCACTTAATAGTAATTCGAAATGAGACATCCGACAAAACCCTTCCACATCCATAAGCAATCTCGCTAATAGCAGGTCCACGTTTGTACAAGTGTGACTTTCCATTATCATCAGTATATATTTGTTTCAGTGGTATTACAGCTGCATCGATGTTGTTTGTAAACAAAGCGAGTATGGACCAGGGCAATCCAAGTGGATCAACACTGAGATCCAGGTTATCTCCCCTTGATCTTAATAGAAATATAACTAAAGCATTTGACCGCAACATTCCGGTAAATCTTTTAATTGTTACAATTTACAATTACAATACTATACTCTGCGTTAAATAATATGAAACATATTCAGCATTAACTGAACATAGCTTTTAACTGCATCAAATGTGAAGATGAGATATGAACTCGCTTCCATACACACAATCATACACACAATATATCTACATAATAAACCCAAAATACCCACTGGATAACTAAATTAACAACATGTACGCTTCTCTACACATCTGTATTGCTGCTACGTGTAGAATTGAAAACTGATACTGTGAACATTCACTTTCAAGAAATAAACGCAACTATGTAATTGGTCTGT